AATACCTCTCTTCAGGAAAGGTAAACGACGAAAACTCGAGTCTCAGGTCTGAAAAGGGGCTGTACCAATGCTCGATCCGCAGCGAGACACGGTAACTTGCTGGGCACATTTGGTCGAGGCTGTCGGGGCTCTCAGTAAAGGATCGACGCGCTTCTCTTCTCGCCCGGGCCCGATAGGGCTGCTATTCGTCGGAAAAGTCCCAGCCGCTCATCGTATAACACGATCGGGGCTGCTGCTGCTCGGAAATAAAACCGGCGGATGCTCGATAAGAGCCTCGAGCAGCTGCTGCACGTTGCCGGAAAAGTTCGGGGTGGACTCGGTCGTCGAGAGCTCGAAATCGCCGGTCGGTGTCCGGGGCTCGCTAGCAGACGCGGCCCGACAGAAATTGATGCCCGAAATCACCAGAGGCCTGGTTCATCGGACGTTGGTCGAGTCCGCCGGAAACTCGACGTGGCCGGATGATGTTTACTGGACGGTGGTGAAGCTCGTTGGAAGGTGGTCAGCGTGGCTTTTTAAAACTGAGGAGCCCTAATCGCCGGCCGATTAGAGAATCGACTCGCTGGACTGGTCGAAATTCGCGAGAGGGAGAGTGGATTTTCGATCTGATTTTTGGCTGAGAGAGAATGAATTTCTCAAATCTGTAAACGCGTGAAAATCCCAGGGAATGAGTTGAGGGGCGGCTGATGTCTCAATTCTTTAAATAGAGAGGAATTAGGGCTTCAAGGGGAGGGAGATGCGTGGGTGAGCTCGTCGGATTTTATGGAAGCAGTTGAGCTGCGACGTGGTCTCTGATGATGGCAAATGGATGACCGAGAGAAATGGGAAAATTCGCTCGGGAAGAAGACCCGTTCTAAGAGCATCTCCAATGCTCAACTTTGAACATTAATTAAATTTGAACACATGTCAAATGATGAATGGAATGTAAATCCATGTAATATGAATGTCAAAAGAGAAGACTTTAACTTGGAATGCACATCTCCAATGCATCCCTTTCAAAAGCTTAAAATATGTTAGATTTTTGATGAGTTGGCTTTCAAACACTCTTTGGAAAACTAGAAAGTGGGCTTCACACTTTGGATGTTTATTGTCTCCATGTCAGCATAAAAGAGTGCATAATATTATGGATTGGAGATTAATTTTTGTTTTCACTTTATAACTTGATGATGTGGCTAACATTTTATTAAGTCTTATATGCAATTTTAGTAATTTTAATTATATTGCAATTAAGTATGTGGGGTAAAACACTTTCAAACACTCTTTGGGATAAGTCTTTAACTTCAATTTGGGACTAAGAAAGTTACTCAAAATAAAATGAGTCAAGGGTGCAATTAAAGGAAAAGAAAAGGCTTGA